CTGGGGAAGCCCTGCCCTGAGCAGCCCTGTGGACAGACCCCACGGAGAGGCAGCCCCCCCATCCCCGCCCCAGCCACAGGATAATCTGGGAAGCACTCTGAGACCCCGCCCCAGCCACAGGACAATCTGGGAAGCAGATCCTGTCCCCCCAGGCAGGCCATTTGGCAGCAGCCCAGCTGATAACTTGACTGCAGCCTGTGACAGATCCTGAGCCAGAACTGCCCGGCCAAGCCCTCTGGCATGCTGTCCTTCAGCAGCTTGGGACATCCCAGAAGATCACAAGCCTTAGTCACCTTAAGGTGTGGCGCTGGCGCTGCCTGGCGTCACTTGTTGTGCAGCGACGGGTGACGCTTACACGAATTGAAACGGAGAAGGCCGCACGAAGGAGCACGCGCGCCGACCACGAGAAACCCCAGAAGCCGGTAGGAAAGGCCTGGAAAGTCCGATGACACGAAAACTCAACTCGGCGGCCTGACCAAACACAAACCCCAAACCACAAAGTCAAGAGACAAGGGACGAAACGGGGAAAAAATAGTGGCAAGATGTGACTCAGGGCTCCCATCGTGAACGTATATAGAGAGGGAACCAGTCCACAGGGGACATCACGATGACCCAACGGGAAAGGGGGGCGAGGGGGGGGATTGCGGAAAACAACGCCAAAGGCGACTCCCTCGTCTGTTCCCACAGCCACGACATTGCCGAGGTGCTGGGGGCCCGGCGACTGGCTCTGCAGTTCACCTGCCGCTCCAACTAGATGACAGGCCACCGTGGTGCTGAACGAAGACCGCCCGCTGACCACTGCAAAGACCCGTGGTGCCCGGCCGTGAGTGGGTCTCCGCAGCATCGCCCCGGAGCTGGGAGACCCGCTTGGTCAGGAACTTTCGCAGGAAAGGCGGAGGCTTCCCTCCGGCCCAGGGCCGGCTGCACCCACAGACTGGGCAAGCGGCACGGCAGTTCCCGGGCAGCCAAGCTCCTCCGTGGCCTCTCGGTGCCCCCGAATCCATCTTCTCGGTCTCTGGGCCCACGTTCCTTTCCTATCCCCAGCTCGGCCGTGGGGGCTTTCCTGTGCCTCCTCAGAGAGCCCTTTCCATCTCCACCCCAGGCGCACATCTGATCCCTGCCCCTCCTCCTACCTGTCCAGCTGGCCCCAGCTCCAGCCTGGGACTTGCTGAGCACCTGTGGAAACCTGACACTTTCCCCTCCTGGCTGTGGACTTGGCCCTCCAGTGGATGCAGGCGGGGAAGGCGGACTGCCGCTCAACCAAAAGCGCGGGATCTCGAGGCGAGCACCCTTCCGACACTTCCCAGACCCGTGGGGACCCTGTCCAGGACCCGGCCCCAGGTGGGGCGGGGGGAGCTCCCCTAAGAGCTTCAAAGTGGTGCTTCTCACAGAGGGGTCCCTGCAGCAGCATCTGCATCATCCTGGAGGGAGATTGTTGGAGTCGAACATTTTGAGGCCCCACGTCAGCTCTGCAAAATCAGAGACTGTGGCGGGGGCTGGGGGTAGAGGCAGCGAACTGGGTTTGAACAAGCCCTGCGGGTGTTCTCATCTCCCTGCGCCCTCCAGCCTGAGATCCGCAGGGATGGATGGTTCCCAATCACCCCACGGCTGGAGAAGCCCTGTGCTGTCTCTGCAGGGCTCACCCAGCCCTCCCCGGGTGAAAGGGAGGCAGGAGCAGCTGACCGTCGCTACCGCAGGTGGTCTTGCAGAAAAACAGGTGTGGTGGATCAGGATTCCCTCCCTGGCGGGTCAGCCCTCTCAAGTGACACAGGGAAGAGGTTACTTCCTGCCTTCCCGCCTCCAGAAGCGTGGACAGACACGTCTGGCGGACGGCACCTTCCCGGGTGACTGTCACCAGCTTTGGCCCCTTCTCCCTCTCGTGTGTGTGTGTGTGTGTGTGTGTGTGTGTGTAACCCAAACAACCGTCTAGACACACTCAGGTGGCGCTGGAACACTGGAACACAGCAGCGGGCGGAGCAAGGGGGGTGTGTGTGTGGGGGAGCACATTCCGGGTCCTCGGAGGGTGGAACCTTCCAGGAGTGGGGAGCGAGGCAGCTCTCAGAGGTCAGAACTAGGTGGGCCGGACAGTCACCGTGCCCTCTGACATCCGGGTGCCCTCCTTACCCCCTCTCCAGGCCCCGGGGACCCCAGCACACCGTCCCTGGCCGTGTGGAGGGCCAGACACCGTCAGGACGGTGGGGGAGTCTTGCCAAGAGCGGCGGGAGGGGCGGCTGGCAGAGTCCACACAGTCTCCCGAAGCCTGGACTCGGTTGGTGGTGGCTTCTCTCCGCGGAGAGGGCGTCGACCCCCGGGTCTCAGGAACGGAGATTCTGGCGGGGTACAGGACAAGGAGGGGCGGAGAGCGGAGACCAGGGGTCCGGGGCGTCGTCGCGGCGTGTGGAGCCCCGCCCTGGCCGCCCCCGCGCTCTTCTCCCCGCCTGGTGTCCGCAAGGCGCTGGGATCTCCGCCCGGCCGGCCGCGGAGCTCCGCCCTCCCTGCCCGCGAGCTCCGCCTCTGACCAAACTCGCGGCCAGACCCGCCCCCAGGCCGCCCGGGAAGCCCAGCCCCTCGTGCCTGACCGACACTTCTTCTGCCCAATCAAAAGTAGCCGTTCACCTGCGCGCCCCTCTCGGCTCCGCCTTCGCGAGCTCGGGACCCGGCAGTCGCGGGGCGGAGCTGTGGACCTTGGGCTTGTAGACGTCCCCTCGGGCGGTGCAGGGACTTCGTCCGCATTCAGAGCCGCGCGAGTCGTCCTGTCTGGATACGCTAAGTCCTGCCTGTGTGCTTTTCGTTCGAACTCGTAGTCTGAAGAGAAATTCACAGGAAGTTACCTGGAAACGTCCGAGAGGCCGGGGCCCCTCCCGCAGTTCCCCCAGCGTCAGCATCTTGCACATCTAGTGCGGTCGCACCCAGGAAATGGCAATGGTGCCATTCGAGAGCTTTCGGCCCCAGGAAATGGCAATGGTGCCATTCGAGAGCTTTTGGCTTAGTGTGTGCGTGTGTGTGTGTGTGTGAGCACGCGCGTAGCTCCTGTGTGTGTGTGTGTGTGTGTGTGTGAGCACGCGCGTAGCTCCGTGCACTTTCATCAGGCGTGTAGATTCGAGTGATCGCCGCTGCCGTCAACGTCCAGCCTGTCCCCTCGCAAGGGCCTCTCCTGTTGACTTTTCATAGCCGCAGCCTCTCCCCCTCCTCCTGCCGACCATGGCAACCACTATTCTATTCTGGTCCCTATAGTTTCGTCATTGGAAGGTTGTCGCCTAAATGGAACTACGTAGTACGCAACCCGGGGTGAGCTTTTTTTCACTCCCATGATGCCCTCGAGATCCATCCACGCTGTTGCATGGATCCACAGTCCTTCCTTGGTATTGCGGGCTACAGTCCTTGCTGCGGGTCAACCAGTGTTGGTTCGAGCATTGCCCGCTGAGGGGCGCCCGCTTGCTCCGATTTAGGCTTCTACAAATAAACCTGTTATGAACATTCGTGCACAGGTTTTCCTGGGATCACAGCTCTCCGTTTCTTCGGCATAAACGCCCAAGAGAACGGTGGCGGGGTCCTATGGAGGTGGATGTTTAGCTTTAAAACAAACCGCCGAGTTGCCTTCCACAGTGGCTGTGGCATTTTACATTACCACCCTGCATACTTTTAAAGCACACTATGAAACATTTTGCAAAACGACATTAAGTAACACTGTGAACAATTCTGTTTCTCTTCTAACTACATCTTCCTATTTTACTTAGCCATGTATCTTTGAGATCCTTCCATGTCCGTACACGAATGTGTAGCTCACGTCTTCTCTGGCTGCTTGGTATGCGATAGAACACATGTACCATCATTTACATAATGAATCCCCAGTCGCCGTCCTGTAACATTTCTTCGTTCCTTTTTCTTCCGTTTATATTAATGCTGCAACTACCGGCATTGAACATGCGTCAATTTCACACTAGGATAGTTTCCTCTAAGCGGAATGGCCTGGTCAAAACCTATGGGCATTTCGCATGTTAATAGACACTATGTATACGTCTCCCCAAGGGACTGTGTCACACACTGGAACTGTTAACTATATTGTTAGGTGGGATCTCCGTTATTTAAAATGCATGTGTTGCAAATATTTTCTCAGTCTCTCTTTACTAAAGACTAGGCTTGCTGGTTTGGGCTGTCAAGAACATAGCTTTCGGATGATGCGAGCGCTGCCGGGTAATACAAGTGGGCGCATCCGCGCGTGCGCATCCCGTGCGTATCGCGTTTGTGGAGCCGCCTCCCGCGATCTCCTCTGCAAATGGGCGCCGTGGCCTAGAGCCCCTGTCCCCACCACCCGTGAGGCCCGCGATGGGTCGCTGCCTGAGGTTTCCGCCAGCCAAAAAGCAAAGGCATGGCACCTATCCCCTCCAGCGGCTCGCTCCTGGCCACCAACGACTACTACAGGTGCCACCTGGGTTCCACTTCCAGTAACAGGTCCTGTGGAAGTGCTGAGTACCCTGGGGAAGCCATCTCCCACACCTTCGTCTACCCAAGCCGGACCCGGGTCACTGGTGGGCGAGATTCTTTTTCAGGAAGTCCCCTCTGTCCTTCATGGACACAGAGTTGGAGTCCCCAGAGACCTCCGAATCTCCCCAGGCCTCCAGCGGCATGATCACCTGTGACCTGGCTCGGGAAGCCACAAGGAAGCAGCATTGTGGACAGCCCAGCAAAACCAACACCGGGCCCCGGTCCTGAATGGCTACCACCAACCACCAGACTTCCAGAGGCGCTAGGCTCTTTGGGGCCCCTTTCCCCGCACCCCACCCCGTAGACTAGGCGGGCTGCGCTGAGCAGAAGCAGTGGGGTTGTTTAACATCAAAACAGCAACATGCCAAAAAGGAATCTGAGAGTCTCGCTCCTTACTGTCCTAGCCGCACGCAAGCCTTCCTGACACCCGTCACCGTGTGCCTTGCACCACGCAGAAAATAAACAAGCGGGAAGAAGCAAAAAGAACATACCTTTTGGCGTGACCAAATTTATTAAATTCTCAATTGATTCTGGGTTGTGTATGGTAGGTAGACATAAAGGCCTTCCATGCTATGAGAAGTGTTTACTTTCATTGTTTAAATGCACAGGTGGCCCGCAGGTAAGGGAGGGGAATCCCTGGGGAAACAGAGCAAATGACCTCAGAGGGTGACTGGGGGCTCGGGCTGTGGCTGGGACCCGGCTAGGCGCTCAGAGTTAATGGGCCTCAGAAGGTGAGGGAGCAGAACTGAGACCCCGCCTCAAAGCAGTGCTCTTGAAGGGTCACCTCCACGGTGGAAAGCAAGGACAGGGGTGTAAAAAGAAGTGGGTTCATCCAGCGTGTGTCTGAGCGGGCGGGCCGGGAACTCCACCACCCTTGCCGCCAATAAGCAAGGGCCGCCTTTCCCCGGGGGCTGCAGGCAGAGGGGCTTCGGCAAACCCCTGGCTGAGAGAGGAACTGCCCCCCATCCTGGAGTACTTCTGGGCTCCTGGCAGAGCAAACCCGCCGTCCCTGGACGGGGCCTGCGCACCTCGGGCTTCATGCCCAGCACTCCCAGAGGCCCCGCTGAAGACAGGTCAGCAACCTCCGCCCTCATGGAGAATCGGCAGGTCTGTCAAAGAGAGGACTGGCCCCCTCGTTCCCAGGGCGTACCTCTCAGAGGCCAGATAACGTAATTTCCGCCGTGGCTGTGTCTGCTACGTGCCCGGACTCATCCATGCCATCCTCATGGCGCCCTAGGAGGTTGGTAGCGGTGTCATCCCCATTCCCTGGCTGAGGAAATGAGGAAAGCATGACACAGAAGGGTCAAGTAGCTTGTTCTGAATCACTAGCTAGCAAGTGGCCGAGGTAGCGTGTGGAGCGAGGATGCTGGGCGCCAAGCCTGGTCCCCTTTGCAGGCTCTGCTCTACAGCTCTCACTCAGAGACTCGGAGCTTCCAGGGCTGTGAGTGTGGCGCGTGTGGCGCGTCAGTGTGTCCTGAAGGCTTCCGAGATGAGCCCAGGCGACTACCCACCAGGCCTTGGGCCAGAGCATGACCGAGCAAGGACGGTGACAAACAGAACCACCCTCTACTCTTGCGCTTAATGAGGGAGGACGTGGCAACACAGGTCGACATTGCCTTTGAATTCTCATGAGATCAGAGAGCAGTTCTCATGGATATTTACACATCGTTTGCAAGTTCCCGAATCTTCCGTGTCCTCTGAGATGTGACATAATAAAGATACAAAAGAAGGAATCATAAAGATACAAATAATTTTCAAAGCCCGGGCAGATTTTTAAAAGTGCTCTCAAAGTTCAAAAACATACTCATTGTAATAAAAATCTCAACAGATGGATTAAGCCACAAAGAGATGCCAGCGAAGAATTAGTGACCCGAAAGACGGTGCCTTGGACATTTCATCCTGCCCTGTTTGGCCTCTTCGCTGCGGGTGCTGCTTCCGCCTTCCCTGAAAGCCTGCAGCGGCCCCTCCTCAGGCATCCGGGCTCTGGCTCCTCAATGCCCCTCATCCTGGCTTCTAGGCTTCTCAGGACGCCAACCTCTTTCTTTCTTCCCCTCATTCGAAGGGTGGCAGCTTCTTCCCGTACTATCTGTTCCTTCAGAATCCCTTTTGCACTTTCGGCCCTCCCACCCCTGAGTAACCAAGCCCTCATATTCCGGTTCCACTTCCTCGCCTCTCAGCTCAAGTCATGGTATGACAAGCTGAGAACTTCCATGAGAGCCCTAAAAATTCCCTTACATCTCGTATCCGCAGGACCGACTGCTGAAAATCAAACACAACGTTCGACCGCGTGGGTTACGGAATCCCGATGCAATTCGAATTCCCAGCCTCTCCACGTCTCTCATAGGGCAGTGGTTGGAGGAGTGAGGTCCCGAAACTTGGAAATGGGACATCTGGTTGGCCTCAGTTGAAGCTGACCTTTGGGAAGCCCCCAGTCCCTCTGAGCCTCCCTTGCTGATGTAAGTAAGTAGCCTGCCCTCCAGTGCCTGGGAACTGGTGTTCCACTGCCGGAGCACTCATTACCTCACTTGGGC